GCATTGCATTGCATTGCATTGCATTGCATTGCATTGCATTGCATTGCATTGCATTGCATTGCATTGTATTGATTTTTAACTGCGGTGTTCAACCTTTTTGGATTCCTTTGAGTCAATGTTAACACTTGGTGACTGCCTACTAATCTCTGCAGTTTTCTTGGCAAATATTTGTGAAGTGGTTTGGCATTGCCTGCTTCCTAGGGCTGAAATTGAGTGTTTGATTCAATGTTCACTCAGCTGGCTTCATGGCTAAGGTGGAATAGAAATCACCTTAAGAACCACACCACACTGGCTCTCTTTAGCAGAAATGCATACTGTAAATTCCATGTGAATTTCTTATCCATTGTAATATTTTATGTGTATTTCCAGATTTGTGGGGGGGGGTGTGTGAAATTAAATAAACTAATTTAAAAACACCTTCCTACATTTGTATAATTAATTATCTTGATGTGTTTATTCTTTACTAGGGATCTGAAAAAAACATATTTTTCCATGAAGAAAATACTCCCTGAAACACCAGATATTTTTTTTGTTGACTATTTTGACTTTTTTTTTTTTTTCTGTTGCAGGGATGGTCAAAAGTTTTCTAAAAGTAAATCCACCTCATTCTGGAAAATGTTGAAAATATCTCCATAATAACCGAAACAGCATGCTCCAGAAGGAAAACTTAACATTTGGATATTTCTTGAAACATATTAGTATTTTAGTATTCAACATTTAGTATATTTATTATTCAAGAAGTATGTTTTGCATATATCTAACTATAAGAGTGATGCCATAGACATATATACATATACATACACACACAGTTTTAAAAGAATACAGATCACCCAATATCACACACATTATACTTAAATTCTATAAATATTAAGTTATTATTAAGTTATTTCAGCTTCTAATTTATTCAGTTGCAAATGTTGTGTATTGTTGTAAAACAAGAAAATAAATACATACCTAAACCTTTAGGAGTAATTCCACTACGGTCTTGAGGATTAACTACCCAATAGTAATACTTCAAGGTATGCATTGCCAATAGAACTGTACCAGCTCGTCTAACTGCATTATATATATTTGCTATGCCAATGAATTCAGTGGACAAGTAAGTGTACAAGATCAATTGAATCTGTATCATCCAATTAAAAAAAAGGAGAGTAACTAAGATTGCATATATAAGGAAAATCAAATAAAGGCAACGAAATGAGCACTTCCAAAGCTCTTATTTATACATTTATTTATCTGGAATTAATACCAATAGATATGATTTATAACATTTGCAAAGATTTTCAGAGGTTTGATGTTGTGACATATCATTGCATTATGTCTATATTGGGCTTATGTACAAAACAGAAAAATTGGGGGTTTGAGTTCAAAACAAAGCAACCCACCAAAGCTCATTCTCTGATCTGCTTTCCACAGAATAAAATCTGAAACAATTCAAAAGTTCTATTTCATTGGACTAAAACTCAGAATATTCCAAGCTATATACTAAAAAGTAAAAGCAAATAGTTGAAATAAGATCTGGGTTTACTTTTCTTTTTTACTTAAGTATCGCAAAAAGGAGAGGGTCATCCACATTAGCTTGCTTCAACTAGCCAAATGGCAAAATTCTTCATGAAAGGGACAATTTCTTTAAAAAAACAAGACTATCAAAAATGTTCAATTCAGTAGTAATCGATTATTAGTAATTACTTACCTGAAACAAAACCCTCAGACCAGTGTGCTTTTGTTTAAGAATGAAACACCTGAAACAGCTGCTGTGTACTCAAAACAGTTTCACAAGTGAAACATTTTTCATTAATTTGCATCATTAATTCACTTTTCCCCCTTCTGTTCAATTGTGTCTCATTCTTGGAGACTGCCTGACAACGACCTGCAGTTTTGGCAAGGTTTTTCAAAAGTGGTTTGCCATTGCCTGCTTCCTAGGGCTGAAAGTAAATGGTCCAAGATCACTTGGGCTTTTTACTCAAGGCAAGACTAGAACTCCTGGTTTCTGACTGCTTAACTACTACACTAAACTGGATCTCTTATCTCTTAGTTCATATTATGTTTCTCCAAAATACTGTATATCTTTTAACACAAGAATGGGAAAATAAATTATTGAATCCATATATCACATTAGTACTAAAAGAAAAATCAAGTTGTTTTATGCTCTGTTCACAAATGGAATGCATCTTACCTTGGCTGGAGTATAAATCCATATTACAGGGTTCAGGAGAATATGATCACAGAGCTGCTTCAGCAAGGGACCTCCATTATGCAAATTGCTCAAATATTTAGCAAAGGCAAGGCAAAGGTCTAAGACAGTTCTGTTAATGTGTGCTTTGGAAGACTGTAGAAGAAAAAAGATACTTAAGCAATGATGAACATGGCCAAAATATTAACAAATGCAAAGAAAAAAACATTTTTTACCTTTTCAAGACTGTATCCTATTACGAGGAAGCCCTTACAAGAAAGCATTTGTTCTTGCATAGCAACTGAGTTCTTCAGCAACTCCATAATGAAAGCCAGTAAAATAGAACTGAAAAACATATTGCATTGATGCAGCATATTAAAAATTAGCATATTTAGGGTTTGAGTAGGATTGCACATTTTTGTTAATTGTTTGATACTGGATCATTCTTCTCAATTCACCAGACTACATTATTTTTGTGTTTCAAATAAAATTACTGCAGTTGCGTAATTTACCACATCTTTGCCAAGTAACCACTATCACCCTATAGCAATCCCAAAGAGTGATAAACATTAATATTTCTCCTTGAAGAAATATTAAACACTAGGAAGAAGCTTCATTATTGCATACAATACATAATCCAATCTGTAAGACAAACTGACTCTAAGAGTCAAAGAGTGAGCCATGTTTAAAACACATTATACTTCAAACTGAATCTAGAGGACCAGAATACATACAGATTGCAGATTAGAACTGAGTTCTATAGATTTCTCTTTTTTTGTCATGAAATATAGTTCATTTTCTAATATTATGACTTTAAACTATATAGAATTAAAAGTATGCAATTTAGAAAAATAATACATGCAAACACTATTTTAAGCAACTCTTTAGTCTGACAGCTGAGCAATTTAGAAGGTTATGACTATGTTTATTGTACAAAATTCAATCAAGGAATAATACCACAAAAAAGGAAGGAACCAAGTACAAATCTAGGTAACATTGGCTAATTAAAATATTTCAGTAAATAAAAAGGTTGTGCTTTGGTGCCAACATTTGCAATTGCTTTAGAAAAACAAGTAGTTTAATAAAGACAGAATCAGCAGGATGAAGAAAAGAAATAGCTCTTATTTCTAATATAACATTTTCATTTAGATGGTAAAATACTATGACATCTGGATCAAAATCAAACATTATAGCTTTGATTTATATTTATATTGTTATTGCAGCCAAAGCAAATAATTCACGTTGCTGCATAATTTACTGGGGGTGCGGGTAGGTTGGAGAATTATGTATTCTAATCCAGAATATGTCTCATTAAAAATGTTACATTTGCAATAACCAAAATATTGTATTGCTTTTGAAAGCTATTGCATTTAAATCCTAAAGGCATTTTTAGGACAATTTCTGCAGCAATTCCTGAAAACACACTCATAGTTCTTAACAATCCAATGGTAGTTTGTGCATGTAAGACATTTTCTGCTGATCAAGTACTGGGGTCAGGAAGATAAACTCTCCTTGGACAGAACCATCAGCTGTGTAAAAAATAACCCTGTATACCTTTTGACAGAAAGGAATTCATCCCTGAGGAATTTTTCATATCTCCCCCTCCCTGACTCCATAAATTACATAGCTACTGAATGATGTACACATTTGTGTAGAAGACTTAGTGTCAATAATCTGACTTCATCTCAAGGTCTTCTCTGTACAACAGATTTAACATGCTCTAACCTTGAAAATATAAATAATGTTCTCCATGCTGCAATATAATTGCATTACTTGGGGATAATTCCCCTCCCCACCCCCAAAAAGCTAAACATGTTCTCATGTATTTTTACCTCAGATACATTTATATGTGTGTCCCTATCTTGTTAACATGCATTTTGTTTTCAACTTACTCTATCATCACAAACATTTCCAAAATTAGTGTAGTTGCTACGGAATTATCACTAAGAGATCAGGCATAAAAAATATTTACTATTAGAATGCAGTATTTTGTCTAACATTTAGACCACCCATAATGAAAGACAATTTGAAGTGAGAATGAAGATTCTTACCAAAGAGTGGTGTCTGGCTGATCCGAGGAATATTGCCTATAGTCCAACTGTGCAAATAGAGGAAATAACACCTGGACTCCTCCAATAGAATGCATTGCACTTTGGATAGAATGGGTAATGACTGCTTTCACATCCTGTAATGCCAAATTTGAACACATTAAATTTGGTTCTTTTTTTCCCCTATTGTTACTTTTAGGCTTCAATGTATCAAGAGTTTCAGTAAGATTTTTGTATTATTTACCATATAAGATACACCTTTCCCCCCCTAAAAGAGCGCGGAAATGTTGGTGCATCTTATACAACGAATACAGCCATTTTTGGCCTCCTGAAGCCCCGCCTACATCCATTTCTGCAAAACATGAGCCATTTTTCACAAAAATGAGGGTGTTTTTGCCTTGCTCCAGCCCTGCTGAAGCCTGCAGAATGCTGCTGGGGGCTGAGGGAAGGCAAAAACTTTTCTCCTTACTTACCTCTTAGAAATCTTGGTGCGTCTTATACACCGACGCGTCTTATACTCCGAAAAATATGGTACATTATAGTGCCCTGCTAAGGTCATATACATTATAAGAGAGCACAATCATGTTCTACACAGGAAACCTAAATAAAGGCCTTTAAAATAAGAACAGAACTTCTATCAGGCCTTAAAGCAATGGATATGTTTAGCTTGAAGAAAATGCAAGGGCCTGGGAGCTTATGATTGCACATCACTAATCATTCACATCTGGTCTGAAAACAGGCTATGTGTTGAAAGGATCGAACCATAAACCTTAAATCTTTTGGAGAACACACTAAAAGATCAAAACACACCCAAGGGGGGAGGGGGTCAAATATATCTGCCTATGAACTTGAAGTCATCAAAATACCTGTAACATGAGGGCATGTGGTGAATGTATAAAGATAGAAGGATTGTCCTTGGGTGATGATTCTAGGCAGAGCTGTGCATCTGTAGCCCTTGGGTTGTATGTAAAGGCAATAGCATTAGACAGTTTCCCATCATATAATAACTGTTTATGATGATCAGCTAGGAACAGATCACTTTCTCCCTTGAACTTAAAAGTTCCCTAAAATGAAAGATTAAAAGAAAGATACCATTTAACCAGGATGCAATTGGAATACAAAGTTTCACATGTAGGTGATTCGGGATGATTCAACTGTACATGTCTGAGATGCATTAATGAGTAAAAAGAGCAATGTACAATATTTTTGAAAAGAAATTCTGCATTTGTATTTTGGCATTGTTTATTTCTTTAAAAAAGGAATATGGATAGGAGAAAATATATTTGAATACTGTCTATTGTAAAAATTGAAGAGCAAAACGATTTTGAACTCTATTCTTGTAGCTTAGCTGAGGGACAAGAGGGTCAAATGGTTCATTTTTGAATTTAAAAGGTAAAGATAAAGGTTCCCCTCGCACATATGTGCTAGTTGTTCCAGACTCTAGGGGGCGCTGCTCATCTCTGTTTCAAAGCTGAAGAGCCAGCACTGTCTGAAGATACTCCATGGTCATGTGGCAAGCATGACTAACCACCAAAGGCACATGGAACGCAGTTACCTTCCTACAAAAGTGGTTCCTATTTTTTCTATTTGCACTTTCAAACTGCTAGTTTGACAGAAACTGGAACAAGTAACTGGAGCTCACTCCCTTACGTGGGGCTAGGGATTCGAACCGCTGAACTGCTGACCTTTCTGAGTAACAAGCTCAGCGTCTTAGCCACTGTGCCTTATTTTTGAGTTTACAAGCAGTTTAAATTAGTAATATTTTACTATTATATTCTGTATTCTGGAGCCAAGGTGGCACAGTGGTTAAATGCAGCA